TATGAAATAATGGATAGAAAGTAAAAAATAATTACCATTATGTTAAATCTCAGCTTTTTATTAGTGCCCACACCAGGATCAGTAATGTTTCGCTTCTCTTAAAGGACTTCTTACTGTACAGGGTAAAAAAGTATTACAGTTTTCTCACAATTTAGTGTATATTGACCCTATCATCATTTTTATTATTTCAGTGTCTTTTCAGGTGTCTTAAAAGATTTTAATGCTATAAACACTTTTCTTCCACTTCCTCTAATCAATATGGAGTTCACTATGACATCTTATTTTAAGACTAATGTTTCTGTGTTGCATAAGGTTGTAATTTTAATGAAGTATCCAAAATAACCCATAATTTCTTGTTTTAAGAAATCTGATAATTATCTTGCCCCACGGCAGATAATTTTGCTACCATTATATTGAAAAATACATTATTATTTTCTTTTCCAATTCCTATTAAGATGGATATTTTTCAATGTATTAGAAGATCATTACTAACTCAAAACAGACTTATGAAACTGCTAATTTGACTGTCAAGAGCAGGCCACAGATGTAGCTGAAAGAGGTATACTAATGGAATGGCACTAATGCAATTTCACAAATAACTTAATGAAGCGTGTAAAGCATATTTCTTCCATTAAGTACACATAGCAAGGAGTCACATCTTGCTTACTGGGTGTGAAAAATATTTTTAATCAGCTTAAAAATGAAGAGACTCTTCAAGGTTATGCTACAAAAAGCCATAAAAAGGAAAAACTCAGTGAGCAGACTGGAAGAAGGAGCTAAGCATCTCCTTGGGTACGTGCCTTTCTTGGGGCCCCTATGCTGCGGGAAGGAAGAGCCTGGAGAAAGGCGGTGGTTCTCCCGCGTCCCGGCAGGCGCTCTTGGGAGTTGTGGTGCCCGGCCTCGAAGCAGAGAGCACGGGGAGGAAATGAAGTAGAGTCAATGTTTCAGAAAGTGGCAAGTGCAAAAGCACCAAGACAGGAGCCTCCACTTAGCGCGCATGTGCAGCTTCACAGAGCTGTAAACCCCTGTATAATCCTTGGATGCAATCCCAGGCGCTGATGCCAGCGTGAGATTTGCCCCGCTCTGTACTATGGGCAGGAGCTTGTTGGCGTTCCCTGGAGAGTTTTTATGTTTGTGAAGGTCATCATGTGCGCAGCACTTCTTGAATGGGGCGAGGGAGTACACACACCGGGCTCTTTTTTCTCCACCTTTCCTTCATCCCGTGCTTAGGCGACGGGCTGTGCTGTGGCGCGGTTTGCTCTCCGCAGTGGCAGCGGTGTTACCTCTTGGCCGCTGTGCAAAGCACCTGCGCAGTGGGCCCTGGCCTCCCCGCGGCGCCTGCCGCTGTCTGCTAGCGTCTCGGCAGAGAGCGCTATCGTTAGTCGGAGGAGCGCAGTGCTGGCAAGAACTGAATGATAACGGAGATGACAACAAGGCAGAGGAAATAAAGAATGGTGTTGTAAACCGGAGTCCCACTGTGAGCTTATTTAGGGCGACCTTGCAGCTTAACAAGAACATGTTTAGAGGGATTAAACACCAAACCCAGGACTATTCCTGTAACCCTCCCAAATCTTTCCTTTCCTAAAGGTCAAAGTGGTGGAGCAGGCAGTCGACTTCTCACACTGAGAACAAGTATTGCTGAAAATCTATATTCCCAATTACAATCTTTTCAGTCTCCAGAGTGAGCTTGGCCTGCTGTGCCTGGTTACGTTAGCGTCATTGTCTAATGCCATTAACAGTAAATGCGCTGACTGCCAATACAATGTTAGTATGCGCCATTCAGAATGATGCAGTTCTTTAACCCTAGTTTATTTTAAAAAGAGCTTAAAAGCCCTTTAATCTTCCTTTTCAACATGAAATATTTTTCCTGAAATACAGAAATAGTTGATGCTATTTGCTGTGGTAGGTGGTAGTGAATTACTCTGCCTATGTTCTTGCTTATGATGCCAGATGTCAAGGAAGCAATGCCTATAATGTAATACTATCCCATGCAGTGCAGATTAGAGGAAAAAGTTATCGTTTTTTTCCTTCTAGTTATGCTTTTACTATTAAAGTCTTGATTCATCAAAGCATTTAAGTACCAGGTTTATTCACCCAGGTGTTTTAACATATAGTCATATTTTTAGCTAATGACAACAGATAGTGTCATCAGATACCTGTTTTAAGCTCCGATACTTGTGTTAATGCTACTTGGCTGATGGCTGCTGGAGTTCTCATAGTCACCAGTAATCCCCCAAATTAGGGAAAATGTAACTTTGAGTTGAACTAAAACCAGGATCATTCAATAATTTTGATGAATTTAAAAGTAAAATGTGGGTACTGTCAAGATGAAATATTTCCTGTTGATTTTCTCAAGTATCAATGTATTGAACCAAAACAAAACATTACATTTCAATTTTAGATATTTCAAAGAAAATTTGTTTTGGCTTAAAAATAATGTATTTGAATTAGAAAATGTTTTGAAGGGAAATGTTTAACTTTATTCACAGTTGTAAATTAGTTTTGCTAAGTTGCTGATGTTGCCAAATCTGCTTTAGATATTTAGTTCAAAGAATTTCACTTAGTTGGGGATGAAACCTTTGGAGTATCTTTCAAATTAAAGGAACTTCGTTAGAACTACAGCAGGCTGCGCACTGAGGAGTTCAGTTTTTTGTCTCCATGCGGAATTTATACATGGGTTTCTTTCTGTCTGCCTGTCTTTCTGCCTCTTTCTCCTTCCCTTCTTTTTGATACTCCGAAATGAACTTGGAGGTTAACTAACATATTGCAGTCTTCAATCCAGCTGTAGTTGATTGAGTAGAGTAGTTCATTGTGGTATCTCTGTTGTCTTCTTGCTGTCTGCCCCAATCCTTCTAATGCCACTGCCCCAATCCTTCTTTCTAACTGCAAGGAAAAAAAATCCTTTTATTCATTCTTTCGTAAAAGAACATTCTGTTGTGTGAGAAACTGCCATACTCATCTATAAATGTGAGAGGTAGTAAAAGAGAAGAATTGCAGCAGCTTCTTTCATTAAATGACCGTAAACCAGGATGAAGGTTTCACTCATCTTGTTGATTTCTTACATTCTAGTTCTCTTCTGTCATCCACACCAGCACAACCAGTCTGGAGTCTATGGTCTAGGATGGTGAAAAGTTTTGAGAGTTAGCAAAATATTTTATTGAAAAAAAAGACCGTCGAGATCTTGCCATGTTTTGGAACAACTAGCTTTTGTGTTGTTGGTTATCTGGCTTTACTTCCAAATGATTGACAGCCTTTTGGAGATAGTCCTAATTACAGCTTTATTGAGGAATACTGGGAAAATCATTGAATGGCTTGTCTAACAAAATCTCTGAGGGATTTTAATTTATGACATCTGTGTTATAATCTGTATATTGATTAATTTCTGTGCATGTTGTGTGTTCAGTGCAGAAGTCAATGGGAATTTGCAGTGGAAGCACTATGGATTCACCCACCTAATTTTTACCCTAATTTTTTTGATAGTCCATCAAGTATAAAGTTTTGGAAATCAGATTTACATTCCGATCTTCAGCTGTAAGGTTAATTTCCCTCTGGCCTCTACCTGAGAGAAATCAGGAATTAATATCATTGATTTCAGCTGTTACACTCATATTAAGTCAGTTTAATGGAAGTTCAGTTACTTAACAGGCTGCAGTGATGTGGAACCAACCAGGCAGTCTGCTGCAGAAGCAGTTTTGCTATTTCTAATTTCTTTGTTATCACACAACCTGGGAACGAAAGATCCTTCTTACTCTTCTGGAATTTAAGTGTTGTCAGAGTAAAAAGCCGGTGTTATAGGAGGAGGAAAGTCCAGTATGTGCTCTGTTAGTGTACGCTTTTCAGTGGGGATCCTTTAAAGGAATCTAGTCTAAAAATCATGTAGCACATATTGATCCTTTATCAGAAGATGACACAGTGATAAGGAAATGGCATTTCCTAAAAAGCTTGGCATTTTGCAAAATTGAAAAATAATATTTTGAAGGCAGGAGAGCTAAAAAGCAGTTTACTCCTTACTGAAGATTAAAAAAAAAAGAAAAAAAATGGTCTACAGAGAGCCAATACAAGTAGTTGGCTTGCTCCATGAATTGCCCACAAACAGTTTCTGTAAAACATTATGGATAAAGTCCTAAAGTTCCTACTCTTGCAAAAAGCTACCGAAGCCAGCAGCTGGATATATTGTGACATGCTGTTTATTATTCTTTCATGAATACTTTCTTTCGTGTTTACCTTTCTAGCTCTCTGCCCCTGTTTGCCCTAAAATCTTATAGGTACCAGGCAAATTTGGTAATGTCTGGATTTGCAGGAAGCATGATGTAGGTATAAAAGTGGCTGATAGATATTCACTCATCCGTAATAGTAATTAACCGATGCCTATCTTATGGGGTTTTATGCCCTTGTCCATAGGCCTTGTGATGAATTCATAAACCCTATTCAAAAGGGGAAGAAAGTCAAATTAGAGTGTAAATGATATGAAATAAAAACCACCAATCAGTAAACAGAAATTACTTTACATAAATTGGAGTCAAAGTGTCCTTTCAGAAATTGATGTTCCGTATGCTGAATTAGAGACATTAAGAATGAAATTACTAGTCATTTATTAACTCTAACATAGGAACAGGCCAATAAAATTCTCCTGATGGTTTATAAAGATGAAGACATTTCCTTTTTTTATATATTACCATTGGTTTTAATAACAATGTCAATAAATGACTATCCAAAACTATGTATGTGTTCATATGCAAGTAAGTCAGAATTACCACATTTTTACATTAGCTCTTGTTTACTTTTTTGAATTTCACAATGGGCTAAAGATGATATATTATATAGTAAGCACCTATCAATCTTACCTTTCCTTTGTATTTTAAGAAATTGACATAGCCTGAGAATACATATTGTTCGTAGTGTTATTTTTTGATTAATAAAAAAAAGAAAGCCTGGTCCATTTTCTGCATATTAACTATTTGCACTGGATACTATTTATGTCACAGAAGAGTTGCTCATAATCCTGTTGCTGCTGGGATTGTGCGAGGAGCTAGCACGTCTGGCAGGCCACTGTCGCAGGCGTACGCTGACTTCCCGGGATTCATTCTGCACTCTTCATCTGTGGAGGCTCCCTTTGGTCTACAGAGTGAGTGTACCAGAAAACTGGGTTTTGTTTTTTTTTCCTCTTTCTATATTTCTCACTTCCTAGTGACACTGTTGGAGCTATTTTAAAAGGCTGAACTAGCACTGAAAACACGGCTGAACTAAGTATGTGCCAAATTTTGGGCTGAATTCTTCTCGTGGTGCTCAGTGAAGTCAGTGAGGTTGCATGGCTGTAAATGAGGCCCAAGGATGCTGGAGAGTTTGTTGCTAACTTCCATGGGTGCTGCAAGGTGGATACATGGAGGACGGTGAGCAGTGCAGAAACTGTGGTGCCAAAGGCCGTGTCACTGCTGGTGGCAGTGTTCAGCAGCTGAGAGTCGGGGTCTGTCGTGTTAGCTTGTTTCAGGTGGGTGATACACAAAACCAGGCATTTATTGTTGTATCATCTACAAATAGAAGAATTTTTGAAAGCGTATCCTACACTGTATTTCCAGAATAAAATTGCTTCAGCTCAAGAATTTTAGGGACATAAGACTGAGCTTAAGGATTTATTTAGAAAAATGTCGTGGCATTAGCTTATTGAATGAGCTCTGTCAGAACTGTGCTGTGCGAGGCAGTCTGTAATAAGACTTTGCTGAAATAGCTGTAGAAACTTGAGAGAAGTGCACTCTTGTGTTTTAATCACTTTTAAGAAGGATTACTATGCCTTATCAAATATTTTTGATTTCAGAACAATGAGTTTTCCAGCTTTATGTTCTTTGGCGCTAGGGATGGTAGCTTTGCAAAGAGCTTTGCATTATAGCATTTGAGGGGAGAAAAATAGGAAAGGTCGAAAGCTTGAATACTAGAAAATTCATGAACTGTGTAGAGTATATTATATGAGATACAAAACTTCAGAGCTGAGATATGCACAGATTAGTCGTAGTATTTAGTATTGATCTGGATAATGCAGAAGCATCATTTGGGATCAGAACGCATCCCTGCCTTGTGTTACGTTGTATTGTCTGAAAATTTTGCATTTTGAATTTAGCAGCTGGGAGAGTGACAAGGGGGATGCAGCTGGCCCTTGCTGGAGGCTCGGGGGACACGGAGCAGTCTCCGTCCCGCTGAGAGCTGCACGAGAGGGCCAGCCCTGCCTGCCCGCGGACACTCGGCTCCCTGCAAGGCTAGACCCTCATTCTTGTGGAAAAAGCAAAGGAAAGATGTAGCAAGGTTAGATTTCTCTCCAAAGACTGCACATACTCCTTTGACTAACGATGTACCTTGTAAAATTGTTGTCATGGCGACTTGAAGACGCAATCCTACTGCTCAAGGCTCCTTTGTAAAAAGTTTCCGAAAACAAAGCACGACAAGCAGCCTACAGAAAAACCGCCGAGGAGGCAGATGGTGAGGAATTAACGTTAGCGGAGGGTGGCTGCAAGAGGCTGCACCTTACAGAGGTCTTTATCTTGTAACAGCATTTTGTCGGTGCCGGTTGGCAGGGGTATCTCGGACTACCTGGGACTGGATTTAGGACACTCGGGCAGTACTGGTTTGGGATTCTCAGCCAGTCTGAGCCTTGATTTCCTCAACAGGCAGGGAAACAGAGGTCACTGTGATGCCAGTTGTACAGGGGAAAGGAAGTTCTTGACATGCAAAGGGTCGCATCCAAGGGAGGATTAGTATTAGTGGAAATGGGAATTTATATGCCTGTCTTCATGGCTGAAGACAGAAGATGCTGTTGGCCTAAAATACCTATGGCGAGTGTGGCAGACTTGGTTTCAGAGCTGAAGAGGGGAAAGGTGTGAGGACTTCCTCCTGTTAGGTACTGTCGCTCAGGCTCCCTTACTGAGCCCTGCCACCGTCGTGGTCCCACCCAGCAGAGCAGCACAGCCTGCGCTCAGCAAACTGCTGCCACCGTCGGATCGCTGCTCTGGCACAACTAACTCATTTACTGGCTACTTGGGTGTCTCTACATTGCAGTGAAACTTGTTTCTGCCCCTGCATTAATCCCCGGTCTCGCGATGCCCTACTGTCGCTTCTTTGCCTGCATAAGAAAGGCAGAGCTTGCCTCAGGAATACAAGCTTTGGCTCTTGCTACTGCTGTTGCTCAGGCTGTTGCTAAGTGATATTTTTTTCAGAAATTAAAACTGGCAATTTGGGCATAATATCTGTCAACTTTCTTTTAACTACTTTTTAATCCATGGCATGGATTTTTGGCAGTTTGTGGTTCGTGAGTTTCCTTAATAGCTTCATGGAGTTAATGTTGCTTTCCCTATGCTAGTCTCCATTTCTCCAAGAAAGTCAATTGCTTCGTGGATTAAAGAAGGTGCAGCAAAAGCCTCTCATGCTTCTGCTCCCCGATTACATCCTGAGTGCTCAGATGTAACTGATTTAACTTGCATGACCTTGGTATTAGTCTGGCTGATATTCAATCTGTAATTTCACACTTAATCTTTCAAAACATTCAAAAGAAGGAACCAATTTTGTTCAGTTTCAGCAACAAGCATTGCGTCTCATGTAGTGTCAAGGTCAGTCAGAATAGAGTAACTGAGCTGAAACCCAGGATTAAATACGCAGGGAAAATTGGACGTAATCAATTACGATTAAAGTGCTTAGCAATACAATCTCAAAATTGCTTCAGAGATGAGTGCAAAGTCTCATTATTTGTTTATGGATTTTAGGAGGCATTTTTCTCTTAAATGCTCATGAGAGTTCTTGAATTGAAATGAAAAGGTAGAAAGTTTAAGAGCAATAAGAATTAGTAGTCTTCTACTCAAAACGAAGTCTATCTGTGATGGTCTTGATTGCAGGTCGTATATATATTTTTTTTAATTTTAAAGATAGTTTATTGCATTAAGAAGCAAAATGAATTGTAGGTGGCAAATGGATAATAACCTTTGGAACTTCACAGAAAGCATCAGAATTATGAGTTCTGTACTAACTTACTTAAAGGAAAGTAATAGATTCATAGGTCTGAAGGCTGGCTGAGACCTTACCGTTCCCCTAATGCAATCTCACATGTTGCATGGCCTAGGAGGTTCCTGCAATGTGCCCAACAGCTTGTGCTCAGCCAGTGCAGCATCTGTGGTTAAGTCCTGCGTGACTCAGGCTTTTTGATATGCTGTGACTGAGTGGAGAAGATTGGACAAATTTATAGGAATTAGACCATAAAACCAAATGCTTGTTTCCTTACAGTGCAGGTGAAGGGGTGCCTGAATACATACAGGCCTACCTGAGCTAGCTTTAATTGAGATGGCCTAAGGTACCCAGCACCGGGAAGACCGTGCTTTGGTATGAACCACCCAGCCTGCCGGGGACCCTGGCATTGAAATCCATGAGTTGTTCACTGGCATCCTCGCTAATAGTGCTACTTGAGCTTGCTACGTTGAAGCTGACCTGGGTATATCTACATGCATTGATGGTGATACCGCAGTCACAACTGCAACATGGACAGGTATGTAAATGTACCTTCAAATACTCTGTAGTGAGGCAAGCAGTTTTCTGAAGGTTGCATGCACTACAGTGCTTCTCCAGTAGCCCTCTGTAATAACCTAACTTCATTGTGCTCACTGTTTTTCCTCTGTAATTTAGACTAGGACCAGCTAATTTGTCTCTAGAACCTCTTGCGTGCTGTGGATAGCTCTGTGCATTGGTGAGGTATGGTATGGCACACGAGCTATGAGACACTGCCCTTGGAGGAAAAGTAACAATGTTGAGGGTTCAAGACAGAGTCGGTGTGAAAGACAAACGCCAGTCCTGCAGGAGCAGGTGCTGGGCAGCCTGCTCCAGCTGAGCCGGCTTGGAGCTGGCGACTGAGACTGGACGATCTCCCGAGGCGTCAGTCAGCCTCAGCCCCGCTGTGCTTTGGTGAAGGAGAGTGGCAGTAACGGACGTGTTCTTGGTACGCTGTGACTGGCACATGAAAGCTGCTGAGGGCCAAGAGAAACATGTATACACAGTTTTCTATGTCTTATACCATTTTGCAAGTTTCTTATCTGCAAATATTAAAAAAAATGGCATGAGATGAGAAAGAGAAATTAAATCACTTTCATTTTTATCACAAAATTGCCAAATTGCCCATACTGGGCATGGAGAAGTTTCAAGGAGGGGACGGAGGAAAGAGGGCAGTGAATATGAGGATGCTAGAAAATCTAGAAAAGGAAATCTGTTGGCATTCCCTCAAATTGTGCCCATTTACCCCACAGTGAAATTCACCCGACCCTTCTGAGGCAGCTCAAGCGCTGCGTGTTTGCTTCACAGCCTCTTTGTGGGGTTTACAGCATTTACAAGCTCTAAGCTGGGCTCCGTGCTGGCATCTCACGACGATGAGCAGTCTGCGGGGGAACGGAAACCACCGCTTTGGTACTGGGACAGGGGTTAGAGAGGGAGAGAGCCTGGTGGGTTGCTTAGTCCCTCCTTTTGTGGGTTCCCCAGAGAGCGCTCTCCAGTGCTGGTTTACGGGGCAGTAGTACATTAATTTATACAGTGGCAATCATCTATTACACTGTAAAGATTATAAATATGGCTTAAAAAATGCAGACAAATTCATAGAGAAATAGTTTTGGTACATAGAACATTAGGTACATTGCAGAGAAAAGTGTTATTTACCTAAGTTAGCCTAAGGTCTTCTAGGCCTAAGGTTTTCTAGGTCCCAGATTTGGTCCCAGTTCACATGTCGTGGTACAATATTCAGCAGGTGGTTCCATGGAGCCCAGCCGTTGTTTAAAGGGGACGAGTGTATCAGGCACTATTGATGTGAACCAGTGTTGATGACAGTCCCGCTTTGCGTAGGATTTTGGATGAGCTGACCTCTGCAGGTCCCATCCAACCAACATTTCAATGACTCTGAGAGCACATTAGATAATGTACTGTTTGAAGTATTGTTTGGGAGAGAGGGAAGAGAGAGGGGAATTAATTACTGTCTCAATAGATTAAATTGAGTTGTATTAGGGATCACAGAGAGCGCCATGTGCATGCTCAGTTCTGGTTCTGTAAGGGGGCATTTTGTCTCTTAGGGAAAATATGACATCTTTCTCTAGAGTTTGTGCAGGATTAGCTGTAACCTGAGCTGTGTGAGCAATATTAATAATAATATTTTGACTTGCAAAATGATTGAAATACAGAAAAAGTTGTTAATAGGGAAAACAACTACAATTACATATAGATTTCATTTTGACACATGAAAAATGTAATACTATGTTTTGAAACCATTACAAAAATATTACTAGTTCAAAAACTGGATGATTTCATTGGTTTTTAAACTGATATAATTGAACTAATTCAGTGTGACTTTACAATTAGTTTTATTTGATTGAAATTCTGAATAAGGAGAGTTTGTCATTGACTCCCAGAGGTTTTGAATAAGAGTCTTAACGGAACGTATTGTTTTCTCTAGAACTGAAAAGATAAAAGCAGAATCAGTGCATCTCTGGTCTTCCACACCATGTATCATATACTTTTGGAGACAAGGGTAAATAGATTATAAAATTCTACAGTGAGAAATACAGACATGGCAAATGAAAATCTGGTATCTTAAACCCAAGTTGACGTATATTTGATTTTGAAATACTGGATGTTTTATGTACTGTGTCCTGAAACAAGTATTAAGCACTGGGACTTAAAATCCTTTCTTGCTCTTTTGTCTCTCAGCAGGAGACTACTCCTAAGGATAAATTAAGAAAGAACAGAGATGCATCTTTCCTCTCAGAAATGTTTCTGAGTTCCTTGACACTGAACTAGTCTTCAAATTACTAAAAGCAGTAAGTAAAAAAGGTCTTATTCTGAAGAGTAATGCACTTAGATATATCTGGTTGCGTTTTTCTTCTTTGAGAGCCCCTTACAGCTTCGTTGTTACTTGCCCTATGCAAGATTCAGAGCAGCTTTTAAAGCACTTAAGCTCCTGAAAGCAAAAATATTCTGAGTATAGGCCAAAACGTTCCCCTTATTTCACTGTCTGTGGCACTGTGTCTCAGGAAATATGGCCATATACCAGGAGCTGACTCAAACACAATGAGGTGGAAAAACATGACCTTCAGAAGGATGATTTAGCATGTAGATCATAGAATATATTTCTCTTAGATTGTTCCCGGCTTGGAACCATTGAGGACATTTGTACAAGAACCTCGTAAATACGGCATGTTGCCATGTACACAAGCTGCTGTCATGCTAGAAGTAAATTCTTGCTTAGTATTAAGAGTAGTTGCCTGACACTGACATAATGAAATTCTTACATCACAGATCCTATTTAACGTTCGTGTTGGGGGAGCTTTGCTGACCCTGTGTAGAAATCACCTTCCGATTCACTGTGTTTGAAAGGACTGTTTTTTTTAAACAGAAAGTGGCTGCTGCTAAGCGAAATTTTAACTCTAAAGCAAGCAGAGCCAAAATGAACCCTTGCTACATAATACTAAAGGCCTTGATCCAAAAAGTCTTTCTCCTTCATTTACTGCATGCTTCAAACTTGAGGGAATGCCTTCTCCAAATGCTGGCAGTACTCCTAGCCTCTTCATGTGCTTCCTGGTTAATTTTTGCTTATTCCATATGGTGTGCAACGCTCTGAACATCTCTCTCTAGGATCTATATCAGCATGTAGGCTAGGCATAGCACCATGCTGTCCTAGAAACAATTTTTATGCCAGAAAGACATTACTCAGATCGGGATGGTGTGTCACACTTTGTTATTCATAGTAATATTGACTGTGATGATAAGGCTGTATTCTGCCACAATTCTGGAAAACCAGGCGTGCGTGGGCAGGTTGGGTGAGGGGTTTGAAGTATTAGAAGCAAAATTAAATAATGAATTGAGATGGGGACTCTTCTGCAATATTTGTATTAAAATTCTTTTGTGTAGTGTTAGAAAGCAAATTGATGCAAGCCACGGCAACCCAACTGGGAAGATGCCCGCTGCCAATTGGAGCATAGACGGACACAGCAACGTGCCTCTTAGCCGCTGTGGGATGAAGGAATTGTCCTGCACGTGGCATGGCTTAACGTGTTCAAACATGTATGTTTGAACTAAGGCCAGTTCTGGAGCCTTCTGATATTCCCTGAGTTCAGTGGTGTGACTTGTGTGAAGGTGAGATTGGTCCCATCTTCCTTTTTTGGTGGCCCCTCTGGATGAGAGGCAGATGTATGTGGGTTTGCCCAAACGGTGATTTCAGTTTGGATGAGGAGTGTGTTTGGAAACCAGTCTTCCTGGTTATCCCCCTATAACGTACTTTGGTTAGCGTCATGGAGCAGCCTCAAAGTGCATGAGCTGGATTCCTTTTGGATGGAAGAAAACTAGAAGACATACCCCAGGAGCACAGCTGGAGTACTCCAGCTGCAAATGGGCTTTCAGTCCGTAGGACCAGACTAGAACTGGTCTGACGTGGAGGGAAACCCCTGGAATATGCATATCATGGATGTCAGGTCCTCAATACTATTTTGCTCTACGGATTTGCTATTAGTCTATGCTGCTTGAAAGTTAGTATTCGCATAGCCTAATAGCCATCACTTTTAAAAACAGTGATATTTGAGGAGGAGGGTAGGAGATTTTCAGCCCCTTTTTCTCCCCTGAGCATTGTCTGACCACATGACATAGGTGTAGCTCCATGATAGGGCAGTTGTCCCATCCCGGCTACAGCTGGATTCAGCTGTTTGCATACTAATAGGTCGTAACCCAGATGTGGTTATTCAGGCTGACTTCTGGTAATGCATGGACCATAGGTCTTCTGTGAACAAACCTTCTTGAACTAGAGTAGCATACTGTGATGTTGCTTTTCCGGGGGATGACACGATCTGTTGAAAACCATTCACAGAAGGATTAGGAGAGTAGGGACTTTTGTAAGAATAAGTGAGAGAGGCTAGGGCAGCCTTCCTTTGTGAGGGGTTATATGGAGTACTGGATAAGAGAGTTGCTGGACTGGAACAAATGGGTCAGGCAGAGGAGCCTAAGATAAGAGAACAGTCAATATTTAGAGTGGAGGTGCAGACAGTTGTTTTCTGGGATAAGTGGGATAAAAATGCTATCGACTTTGGGTATTTATAGAGCACCCATCACTGTAGTATGTTATGCAGTCAATACTCGCATTTTCAGGGGCTCTCATGAGAAGCATAATATTTTAAAGAACTTGCTGGTGGAAGTGGAATAGGTCCTGGTGCCTGCACATTTCTGGTCATGCAGGCTCCTAAGGAGACTATGAGCATCAGTGCTGAATTCCAATTCTCCAGCCACCTTTCTGAATGAGAGGGGAATGGCAATCCACAGGTTTCAGGTTTGACATTGACTTCAAGCTTGCAGCTTGTCTGCAAATCACATTATTTTGATACAAACTGCCCATTTCAAATGTGAAACAGGATGCAAATTAAAGATTTATGACTTGTCTGTCAGTTTTGATTCCATCATGTGCTCATTAGTCATGCCCTACTGTGCTGCCCTGTAACAGTTCTGACTGATGTTGACCACAGTCATTATAAACGATCCCTTTTGATACATTAGTTAATTACAAAGGAAATCAGCCTTCTCCTGGAAAATTCAAATCTATCTTAAAATCTGATGGAGAGGCAATTCATTATGAGGAAAGTAGTTATTTATGAATTTACTTAAGAAAATGGAGCTGTTCTCATTAAAATAAGCTTAAAGTTACAAAACAGTGATAAAATGTCAGTTGCCTACTTAACTCTTTTGGTGCATGTTTCACTAATGAGTTGAGAGACTCTGAGACTTCTCCGCTAGCACTTACAATTAAATTGAGCTAACGCAAAGCAAAAAAAGACTTGGGTAAGACTTGCTTTATAGTTGTAAAAATAACAGAAGTATGCAAGAACAGACACAATGTATGTGCAAAGACTTTCTTACTTGAAAAATCATTTGGATGGTGTTCAACTTTTGCCTTTGTAAAGGACTTTCCGGTGAAAACATAGGAAGTAGTCATGATTTACTCCAAGGAAGAGTATAGGATTTCAGTTGAGGGTTTGCACAAATATTGGCCTTTTTTTCCCAGGGAGCCATGATAGAATTGGACATGACCTTTACAAAATTTCTATTGTTCATTGATTAGTTTCTGCACCTTATCTTCAGACAGGATTTCGCCATAATGGTCCAGTGCTTTCAGATCCTGAGATGAGGTGAAGGCAAGGGTGTGACGTGTCCCTTCCCCAGACCTTCATTCTTCTTCATTCTCCCTTAAGTCCATGGACTGAGGACAAGTTGGTCAGCATACCCACACGTCCAGTTGTCTGCAACGTGTGAGGGATGTTGCTGAATCATTCCCTCCCTCCCCACCAGTAAATTGTCTATGAGAAGAGATTTGGAGAGGATGGAGAGTATGCAGATTTGTAAAGAGTTGGACTCTGACCATCTTTTCAAGGAGCCTGAAGTGAAGAAAAGCACAAAACTTGCTAAATTAGGGGGTAAATTTTTAAGAACATGGGCACTGTTGGATTAGAGATGTACCATGTCCCTGCCATTTGATGGAGATCACTGCTCTGGCATTCAAACAGTGGTGGCTGTCACTCACTACTGACCTCCTGGTTTATGTTTTCATCAGAGTTGATTTTACAGGATAGCAAAATGTAACTTTTTCCTGACTGAATGTGCAATCACTCTTGCATTTGTTTTCACAGGTGCTTCTTTTGCTACATGCAGTAAGATCAGTAAAATGAAAAGGAAAAAGATGATGACTGTTCTTGGGAACGTGTTTACCAAATGGCTGGAGAGTAGTTATCATGGCATCCAGGTAATAGCTCATGTTCTGCTTTCTTTGTGGTAGTCCTTGCTCTCAAAACTGTATACTTTTTCCATATCAAAATTACAGCTTGCAGAAGAGCTTCCAGTTAAAAAAAACGTTTCCTTGTTTCCTCTCAGTTGTTTCTGTGATATTGAAAGGTCACTGACTGGCAGCACTCTAAGTATACAAACTGTGCAGGTCCAAGGGTTATCCCCGTGACAGTCTGGTGAGTGTACGTATCAGTGGGGAAGGTCAGACACCGTACTCATGAGTATGCTGAGAACTAGATCTGAGTGGAAAACAATATCAGAAATTACCTGTACAGATACCAGTAAATAATTTATTTATTTTAGAGGTCAGACTAAACCAAATCCTAGATCAGAATCCCCCTAAACTTGTGGTACTTTGCAATCAAAATTCATATATTCATCTGAATTCCATCATTTCTTTGCTTATTTTTCTCAATAATATCTACCTTTCCAGTAAGGCTAAACTTATTTTAAAATTCCACTCAAAAGGACCGGCTCGCTGGCCCACGGGTCAGTGGTGGTTTGTGGATATATCCAAACTGCTCTCTAACATTCTTCGGGCCTGAGAAACATTTCAGGTCAGTCTCCAGAGCAGACTTGGAAGTCAACAGGGGCTGCCACCCCGTCCCTCGCCATTCCTAGCTGGATACCTGCTCCATGGTGGGAGGAGGACAGCTGCCCTGCATTGCTACCCCACCTCCATCATCAGGTCATCCAGGCCTGCTTTACCTCTCCCAGGGGCAAATTCCAGCTCAGTGGAACAGTATTTTCATCCAGTAAATGAAGAAATGTGTCAGTAATGACACTGGATGACCTTCTATTCTCAGTGTTTCGTTTGGATGGCTAGGATATCATTTTCTGGTCTGGGATGGGTTTAACTAATGGAAAAAAAAAAGATTAAGGAAATAAAATGAGCATGTTTGCTATCCCTTGGCTCTTTACCTTCATGCTGATTTTTAGAAAATGATAATGGTGATAAATGAAATCTCTTTTACTGTTACTTTTCCTATCACTGATTGTACTGTAATTCTCTCAGATGTGCTTGTAATGTAAACTTTGGCCGGTTCTAGCAACAGAGTCCGGTTTGCACTGGAAATTCCCTGTCAGCCCTTTGTAGAGGTACAGGATAGTATTTGGATCAGCTTGCGGTTTCCTCTGAAACCTGGGAGAATGTATTCTTATGTATAAAGTATATTGAAAGTGAAGAAGGGCAAAATGATTCATTCAGAAGTATTGGCCAAATCAGTTTTAGGTGGCAGAGTTGAACAAATGTTGACACAATATTTCATTTTTAATTTTGTTTTGTTAAGCTTGCTCATTTTGCCCAGCAGTAGGTTCACCGAGTATCCTTAATATATCCTGTGTATTATCTGCTATATGTTCTGAAAGATTTTTTTGTCTTTTGTTATATTGTTTACAAGAGAATGTATTCTGCTTCTGGCAGTCCATCGGCATCTGTGTGGCAGTGACAAAAAACAATCACCCTTAAATCCAGGTATAATAAACCTGCATGTTTTTTAGTTCAAATCAATGTTGAATCAGCACAGACTGGCTAGACATCCAACTGAAGTTTGATTAAAAACTAGGTCAGTTATATTGTGCAGTTCTTTTGTTTTGCACTAAAGGGGATGTTTAACTTAAAGAGACACACGTATGGTTAACATTAATGTTGCTGTAGCTGCTGTTCTAGCGGCACAGTTTTACCTGTGGAAAATCTCTGTGATCTGTCAAACTTTCAAGTTTACTGTGCAGGCTACCATGAACTAACAGCAATTAAAAAGTGGGCAGAGTCTTAAAACTTACTGCATGAGAATTTTCTGAGATGGGTATGGAGAAGTCAGATCCATAATGTATGTGATCCCATCTTCTGTCTTGTGATCTTTTTAAAAAAACTTGCTAATTTTTTATGATCTGTGAATTCAAATGCATTTTAATGTATTTTTTATATATACTATCTCTTAGCAGTCATGAACAGGAAGGGCAAAAATGAAGAAGGGGATGGGAATGGTTATTGTTTTATTATTTTTCCTTTAGAAGGCTATACCAGGAAGACTGTATGTCTTTCAGTTTCTGTAGTCTTACCTTATTTATACTGGTCTCATCTCTCTATTATCTTAGTATCTTATACATTTGCATAATGCTATGTTCTGTTGTCTGAGAGAGATGTTTTTGGTTTTTAAGGTGAGCTATATGTGTTGCCTTTCCCGTAGGCCCTGTCAGTGTTGGTGCGGTTCTGTGGGCAGAGAGGTCTTTGGTCATGTTTAGTCCCTGTGGAAGAATATTCCTTGGCCATGGATAGGTTTGTGTCCAGCCCGCAAGTATCTGGGCCTGACAGTTGAAATTACATTATGGAAAGTATTATTATGACATGCTTTATTACATGAGTGGGGAAGTAAATTGAATGACCTAGGAGATCCCTTCTATCCTGCATACCTCTGCTTCCCACGTGGAAGGACAAATGGATGCAACTGGAAGAACTTTGAAGGTACTTCCTAAGACCTTAAATTGTTCTTACTTTTCCACGGGTAGCTGAAGGACTACAGGAAGTATAAGAGGAAAGGAGCTTCTATGTCCTGTCTTGACACCAGCTGCACCTTCTTTAACTTTTCTTATTTAGTTCCCAGAGCAATGCTTCAGCATAATCAGTTCTGGAAGCTACAAATTATTGAATTTCTATAATCAAGTCTATGTCTAATAAGATGGGGCATGGCCTCCCAGGCAAGTAACAGGGTGAAATGGCTTAGTGGTGACAAATGTTGTCATATGTCTCGTGAATTTAGTTTTCTACCCCAATAAAGAATTTAAGGTGGCTGCAAGGCCAAAGGCTATTCCTACAATACTATTTAGACTTCCTTGATAATTAATTTTGTGCCAACACATTTTCAGATACAGGCTCTGAAAGTATTACAGCAAAATGGAACTTAGTTTCCCAAAACATGCAGTAGCTGCTACTTAATCAGAGTTTCGTGATGGGAGATGTTATAAGCCCTTTTCCCCAAAATCTCTGACCCTGTCTAACGAGTATTGCCACACTAGTAAGTGAGACGCTGACCTAATCTAACATGATGCTCCTCTCTTGATTCCAATGTCATGAATCTTCATGTAGACCCTCTGATAATCTAACCCCAGTGTATGATACAAATCTTGCTTCGCTAAATTAAGAAGACGAAATTTTCTCAGCATCAGTGGGAACTTAAACTACAAAAGCTACTCACAGTGAAAACGTATTTCCCAAACGTTCTTGTGCTTCCAAAGCCCTTTCTGTGTGTGAATGATCTGTACACAGGTTTTAAGCACTCATGAATGCAATCGTTAATTTGGAATTATTCAATGAATGCCATATGTAATAATAATTCAGTCTGTGAGCTGCTTATAAACCGTAAGCTGTGAAAACTATAGTAGGGATTCACTCTGTATAGTTTGCTGTTCCTACGGCACAATCAGCTCCATTAGTGACATGACAGAGTTGCTTCTCTCTCTTTTCATGGCTCTTGAGCTTCCCAATAACTTTCTTAGTGTGAGAAGCCAGAGGACACTTCTACAGTTGGGGGATATCTGAGTGGTTTTTAGGTCCTTGTTCCAGGTGAGACCAGCTGGTGTATCCCGAGACTGTGCTCACTGCCTTCTGTGCACTTGGATGTACGCTGGAAGGAAGCCTGGGTGTGCTGGTAAAGTGTGAGAAGTGGTGGGCTCTGGGAGGACTCCCAGCCTGTGTGACGAAGGAATCAGTGCTGTGGGACAGATGAGCACCCCTACCCCAGTGGAGATGAATCTGTGTCCAGCCAGTATCACTGTTAACTGGCCTGGTACTGTATTTTCATAAATATCATGTGACAAAGGTTGCCTGAATTAATTCAGCTTGTTTTGTTCCATAAAGTGCTTGCAAATGTTTTGCTGTCCTTTGCTCTGGGGTTGCAAAGAAGTTGCAAAGAATTACCCCAAATCTCATGAAGGCCTCACCATGCTTCTGCTGCCTCGGTTTTGCCCTGTGTTCAACAGGAGCTTTGTGGCAACACCGTGACCCCTGTAAAACACATCTGCAGTACTGTGCTTCCTTCCTTCGCCAGGCTGCTGCCTTGCGGAAGAGGTTGTCCGTCTGTCTGTCCCTCTGGGGCCGTCTCAGCCAGGGGGCCTGGGCCGCACTCAGAAGTGCGCGGGGGGCCTCTGAACTGGAACCACCCAGCGGAGTACCATGGACATGCTGTCTCCTAGCTCTTTTCGCCGCTTCAGCATTTCCTGATGAGGCTCTGCATGTAGCACATTCATAATTACAGTTTGTAGAACTGTTCCCTCAAGATGTAGGCTGCCACTTACATGATTCATCGAATTCATTTCCCTCTCTCCCTTTCAAGACATCTCCCTATTCTCCCCTTGATGAATCTAGCTCTGAGCCTATTATTTAGATAGGACGCGTAGCAGCGCTGAACTGTTGGCACCCATGTGTAGCTCCATTGTTGAAGTACTGCCTTGCTAATGGTTAAGGGTTGCTGTTAAGGTTAAATCAATCATTTTAGATATGGTGAGACAGGAAGACTGAACTTCAGCATAATATACAAAGTAGGATAGCTTCCGTAACTCCCTTCATTTACACAGGGCGTTAATTAATAGAAATACAGAGAATTGTAGTGGTTCTGTTTGTGCTGATATTTAGCAACAACATAAAAGTAAATTTACCATTCCCTTTAGTTGATTGGACATCTAATTAGTTAATATGGTGGTTTTGTGTGTTCTCTATTATAATTAGTATTTTCTGGCCAGTGAGTTTATAGAAATTAAAAGAAAGGCAAAAATCCCCAGCTTGGAAAGTGATATTGTGAAGTACAGTTAGAGTATAGTGGACAAACTTAACAAACAGGATGGATGAAGATGAAGAAAGAGACAATGTTTATGCTGGTGGCATTATGTGGTGATTTAGTTATGGCATATTCTGGTAGTTAATGTAACTATTTTAATGCTCTGCTGTTTAACAGAGCTGTAATA